AAGACTGGCCATTATATTCACCTGCTCCTCGTGCTCCTGTCTGAGGGGTTTCAAGGTTTGTAGGTGACACAGGAGGTTTGAAGGGCACGGTGACAAATGAAAGGGGCAGATGTCAAGTGTATGGAAATCAACGCTGGAGCCACTGCAGCCTCAGCCAAAACTTGACAATGTCACACAAGCCCTGTTGGGTGTGGGTGTCGCTCTGCAGGGAGCCTCTGGGTGTACAATGGAAACTAGGACAATATTATCAATATACATATTCTCTGGGCTGAGATAATGAGACAGCAGAGAGAACTCAGTTTGAGATAACGGGCCAGAAAGCCACTTCTCCTAACAGTAAATTGCAAATTAAGCTAAAAAGACTATATATATATATATATATATATATATATATATATATATATCTTGCTACAGTTCTTTTTACATAATATAAAACCTCATGATAGACTATATATATTTAAGATGAAAAAGTATTCTTTTGTTTTATATTCTTTGAAGCCTTAATTACACCATCAACTATTAAATGATAATTGTTTCTCAGTTAATTAAATGAAAGGAAAAATAAAAAAAGACTGCAAGTACAGAGATACTCCTCCCTGCAAAACCTTTCCTTACCACAGTCATGTGCCTAATTTCTGAACACATACCATATGCCACTTTTACCACTCTTCTATTCTTATTTGGGCAGCCTTGTTTTTTGCTTTTAAACCAAATTTACTTAGCATTACCAAAAAAATTCTGTATTTTGATCATTACGCTCATGAACTGCATTCCAAAATCAACACAGCAGTCTTTTTCTTCTTGAGGTATCATCTCACAGAGTTTGTCTTTGTTCACTTCCTACCAGTATAAGCCCTATTTCTGCACAGTCAAGGTTATTTGCTTGGTGTTTTGGAAAGCAAAGATTTTGCCATATCGGGTTCCAAAGTAACGGAAGCAGTTCTAATGCCATGTCATTGCCTTACAGTTTGAAAACAGGCTTTTCAGAAAGCATTATTTAGCTCAGTTTATGAATGTAGCACACGGAGATGAGAATACTGAATAAATAAAGGATTTCCCCTGTTTAACCTTTCTCTCCATCTTTAGACTTTTTCTTTAGTAAAATGATCAATACATATCTCTACCTCTGTGCTGGAAATTGAGGCAAGGTTAGCGTTTAGATTTTTCCCAACTTTTGTGCATTTAGAATAAATGCTTTCAACAGAAAATAGATTCATGTACTGAGCTGAAGGCTTCACATGGATTTATTTGGGAGCATGCAGTACTTCAACATTTTGTTCCATTTCTGTTTCCACAACATTAGTAATCCCCAAAGATTATTTTTTATTTCTGAAAGAAAAGCCAATTCCACTGCAAATCAAAAAATGCAATGGGGGAGTCCTCTCTGATGCTTTTTTCTTGTCTTTTGAGACTCTATAGCTGCCTCCTTACCTTCCTGATGTGCAGTCTCTTCACAGCAGACACAAGCCCACGCTGTTATTCTTGTAACTGGTTGCTTTTAAGTTATACCAAGTAACGATACAGGCCAATGTGAAAAGCACTGATAAGTACATTAAATAATACTCCTTATTGGCTTCTTTTGACTTCAGAAACCCAATCTGTGAAGACTACATGAAAGTCTCCAGTTTTTTTATCAAAAAACCTGTCAGTCATGTTCTTGGTCATTCCAGCACAGAAGAGAAAACCACATAAAGCTGTACCTTTATAGTCACCAGTGCTACTTCCATTATTGCACATTGCCTCAGGGTCAGGCTTTTGGCTTCCTCTCGAATCACATGGTCCTGCAAAGCAAGTGAAGAATTGGTTTTGAAAGGAAACTATTGTGGATTGTTCTTGGAAAAACAAATATACAAAAAAAATCTGCCAAATGCCCTTCAAGGACACACGATTAACAGGGACTAATTCAACTTCAGACTTCTTTTACAACAACCTAGAGCAATCATGTTGTTTCTTGAAAACATGGACTGCAGGGGAAAAGATCCCCTGTTTAATACTGAGTATCTGCATAGCTTTATTTATTTTCCTAGGATGTGTTACTTCTCTGTTCTGGGGGATGGGGGAAAGGTTAAAATTTAAGTTCAAATAATTAGTTGTTACAGAAATTATTAATCTTTTTAATAAACCTGAGAGTTTAACTAATGTTTGTTAATGCCCCATTTTTTTTTTTTAAAGAGAGGTTCCTGTCAGAACATGTTAAACAGAGTCATAAAGTGATGAAATCTTTGTCTAATATAAGCCCAAGTGACTTACTTATTTATGACATTTTAACTCCTCTAGCAAACCAAACAATTATTCATAGAAACACGAGTTATCACATATCTGCACAAATCTGAATTCCTAATGGCAAAATTGATTGGCAAACAACTGACATCAGTATCAAACATCTCAGCTGTCCATTAAGTGGACTCTAGTACTGTACTGCTGAAGAGTTTATTGCAGAGATAAATACTGTGTTTCAATGCACACCATAAATAATGCACAGAAAGAAAATTAATAGTTTTCTCACCTTGGAGCTTTTTAGAACTGGTTCCAGAAGGGAACACAAAGATGTCATTTTTTTTTTTTTGTGGTGTTTAATACTTTTAAAGGCTAGTTGTGCAATAGGGTAATGATATCTTCTTGGCCCATCCAGTGATCACTTACCATATAAGTAATCAGTCATTTATCCATAATTGGGTTTTGATGAAACTGTAAAACCATTATTCACCTTTGAGTAGTTACTGCCATATTTGATCTTATTACGTTAAATGAGAGTGAGGCCTGAAGTTTGGCCTCACAGTCACTAATTATCCATCTATTTTTTTCATTAGCTCAAGCCATTCACAGCTTCATCTGGCTCCATTACCTTGAGTTTTGACAGTTGTCCAAGATCTTTGGCTGCACTGAATATCATCTGGGGCCCCTGTAATCACATTGAAAATTAAGGAAACAGACTCACTACAGCACGTTTGCTTTTTATGTCAACATGATCTTACTGTCTGCCAGGATATCAGGCAAAAGTCAAAAGTGTTTTGCAAAGTGTTTTGCAAAGCTAAATAAAAGTTTCAATTACATGTGAGACGCATTTCCCCTCAGTTGATAAGGCCAAGTTGTTGAATGCCTCAGCGGGATTCCCTCCAGGATTCCGCACTTGAAACAAATATTGCACATTCTGCTGATAGTGGTTTTGTGTCCTCCTTTCTGCTATCTCATTTGGTGTTTAATATTTTAAGCTGAGGCCGTGATTGCTCTCACACAGCGTGTCAGTGAGATATTTGTCCATGACCGCAGCTCTCAGGCGTTATGCTAAAATAAACAATCATCCTGGGAAGTGAACAGCCCTGAGGAACCTGCAGAAGCATGGCTGTCCACAGTGAAATCTCAGTAGAGTAACTGTTAAGAAAAAGCCTTTTTTTAAAAAAAAAGTGTTATGAAGTTAAAGCAATATTTTACAATAGCCAACTCCTGGCATGACACCAAAGGCCAATACCTACATGTTTGTCTCAGACAAACAGAATCCTACTGTAATTCCATGCTGACATCTTTCATCACAGTTACTCCAAATAATATAATTTTTTATATTTGTTACTTGGCATTTCAGCAAGACATAGTTCTGAATAACGGGATTTTATGGAAAAAAGGTTCATCCAACTTACACTGGACTAATTTTTCATCAGTCTTTCTGTACCAAAAGATTTCAGTTTTCAGAAATAATTTTGCTTCTATATCCTTCAATTGAAGAAGATGTAATATAGAACTGCAGCTTAAATCTTCATTAGCAGTGAGAATGGTAAGATAAATATGCAAATTAAAAAATAAACCCTGCTTCTGAATATGTGTGCCTCATCCTCAGACAGAAAGAAATAATCAGGGTTAGAAAAGAAAAAAATCTCTTACAGTATCCTACTTTTTATTGATTTTCTTTAATTGTCTGTTTAATAGTAAACAGAAGTAGTAAAATAAATGCAACTAATTAATACACCTTTCTCCTGCCAATGGAGACACTTAATATAGAGTCTACCACCAGTAAAACTCACCTCTGACCCATGCTATTATATGAATGAAAGTGTAACAACTGATCTTGCATAATGCTAATAAATGCTCCTAGTGCATGATGGAAAATGCCAATGATGTTTACCCAGTGTAAATTCTACTTACGTATTTGCAGATAAAATTTCCCCCCAGATTTTTGGAAATGCAAATTAAAGATCTCAGAAACATAAATTTCAAACAGTCATTCATTGAAAGAGAGGCTGTTTCTAATTATTCATAGTAAACAATGTCATTATGGTAAACATGAACAAATTCAGTGACTGGAGTCCTGGCTATGACTTTAAGATTAGCTCTAGTCTAGAATTTTTATTACTACCTTAGCACCATTTATACATTTTCTATTAGATTTTTTTCCTGCCTCTCCAGCAATATTCTTTCATGAGTCTTTAATATATGATATAATTTTATGATATGCCTTTAACATATGGACACTGACAGATTTTTAGCAGCTGAACCGATATCATAGGACGTACAGGGCAAAATTGCTCAAAGGCACACCATGACAACATCATGACTGTCTTGTCATAAGATGGTCAATTTATTTTAAACAAGATTGAAAACAAGAAGAATTAAGTTATGTTATCCTAGTCCCTCAAAAACACAAAAAAGCAATTAAAAAAAGGCCCTCCAACCCAGGCTCTTTTTTGTTGATCCCTAGACAGAATCAGATTTTACTGGTCAGCTCAGTCACCACTCAGAGTTCATGTCAGGCCATGACCCACATGGGTCTCGTGTAGCAGCCCTACCTTCTGTATTTGCAGTTTTGTTCCCTGTTCTTGTCAGGCTGTAAATGCAGTCCTGCACAAAAAGGACCTCCCATCAAGTCTGCTATTAAAATATCCCAAATCTTTAGAGCTATATTTGGCTTAAGCTTCCTGATGTTAATTAAGTGCTGCCTCAAGATGAGGAATGGCACAGCAGGCAAGCCTGGAGACTGGGATGGGGCATTCCTGCCTTTCTGGAACCTGCAAAAATGGAAGGGATTGAATTTCTGCTGCAACGGGGAAGGGCAAGGAATACACTTTGTGTTACTGTGCACAATGAAGTAAAGAGCAATCAAACTTAAAAGCCCTTACATGAAAGCACACTACTAAGTCAGTGATGCAGCTTTTTTTACATGACTGTGCTCACAAAAACTGCTCTGAGTCAGGGCAGGCAGTGACAGCAGCAAGGTCTTCCACACCAGCTACATACAATTCATGTGTTATTCCTTGTGGTCAGGGTACAGAACAGGACAGTGTCAGACCCCTCGGCAAATACCTGATCAAGCACTTGATTACAATCCTTTAGAGCACGTGAGAATTACTGATGGAACACTCACGGTTTGGTCTGTCAGTGGTGGAAGCACAATTTGTTTTTCTATTTTGTTTAAGACCAACTTCCAGAGCTCTTTCAAAATCCGTTTCAGAACTGTCTTCTCACAGATTTTTGCAGAGATGCTTAAACTGGAATAAAACAAAACAAAACCAGTCACTGAAACTTGTATTAAGACCTCAGAGGTGCTGTACCAGTATATACTCAGAATAATGATCATTAAGGCTTAGCTTTTCTCTACCAATGAAAATTTCTCAGTAGCTCAGCTATTTTGCAATATTATCAGTAAATATTTTTGGTAAAAATTACTTGCAGATTACAAACTCACGTAAATCTCCACTATCTAATTTAATGCTTAGTACATAACTGATGTATATTTATTAGAAATGCAAAATGATGATGAGTTATAAAGTTTGACGGATGACAGAATTTAGCACTCCCACGCCCCTGAATTAAAGTTTTGGCATATAATTTATGTCTTAGAAATAAAAAACAAATGTGTCCCTTATTTTATATTTCTGCTGGGATGTAGAAGTAGGTGCTGACAGCTAATGCATATTCACAGCTACTGTTTGCAAGCATTTATTTCTATGTACTGACATGTTTGTGCAGTCATGCTATTTATTAACAGTGAAATTAAATTTTTGGAGCATCTTTTCCATCTTAACTTTGAAAATGTCTGGCTAGGGAAATTATGCATGAGGAGCCAAAAGGGTATGTAATTCGTGTCTGTGTGACTGGGGAGACCTGAAGTGCAGGATCAGTGCCAGGCTGCTTGTTCAACCACTTTCAACAAAAAGCCACTGGTGTTTCACAAGTACCAGCAAGAAAAGCAACGTGCTTACAGATGTGCCTGTGCTGCACATGGGCTTGCAGAGCCTGTCACTGCTGGATGATGAGAAGATAAGTTACCCTTACTTTCAGAGGCCAGAGTAAGTTTCCAGGTCCCTTAAGAAATTTAGGATTTTACCAAATGAAAAAACAAACAAACAACCTGGTCTTTAGGTGGTGAGCAGGTTTTTGGGGACAAAGTGCATATTAATCAGCAGTGGGACACTGGGTGCCAGCCTAGAACAAATGCCAGTTTCAGTATGGGAATTTATTTTTGTTCTTTTGTTGAGTACAATCTTTTTTCATAACGTGGCAAGTGGAGGAGAAGCTGTACACCAGTTCCTTTGCAATGACTCAGAACATGACAAGACGTAGAAAGGCAAGTATGTAGCTCGTGTAAAAATTGCTTAGTCGAGGTAAACAGGTTAAGCATGGTATTCTGCACACATGTGACTACTGCAAGTATTAAACCCACTACAGAGTGTTTCTAGGTATTAACAATCCTTCAGGGTAACACCAAGAAAGCCTGACTGTAGCATCCAGTTCCTAATCTGCCACACTTACGTTTTGTCCAGGAAATCCATGAGAGGCCGGAGCACAATCTCAGCATCGATGGCTGCACTGTTCTTGTTGGCTGCTGCATTCCCATTGCCTCTCATTTGATTCAGTTCATTGCTCATTTGCCTTACACAATCTTCAATAACAAATTGGAAACTAAACGATGAAAAATAAAAAAGAAGGATGAAAGAACTCAACATTCATCATTTTGCATCAGGGTCTTCACCAAGATTTAAATCTTCTCTGCAGGGGTGCAAAGTTCACAAATGAAGATACTCTGGCAGCTGAAAATAACTTCTACTAAGAACCATAGCTCATATGAGTAATTCATCCAATGTTCTGATCTTTTCCCCCTTTTCTATTCTATGATGTTTTTCATACTCTTGTGGTGCCAAGTATTTATTTTCTGAAAGCACCAGATGTATCAGAATCTGTAGGTTAGAGCATGGCTGACTACCAGCTATGGACGATTTCTCAAGATTTCATTGTTGGTGTGAAAGAACAATGGGAGCAGTTGACAATAAATAGTTTTTCTCTTGATAGTGAATATGAACCAAGCTTTGATATTCTTCTGGAGGACAGATAAAAAACTTCTACTGATTTTACCTCATTTGGCTCAATTGGACTTTTTATGGGTTTCACACAAAGTCAGTGCCATCAGAAGCTTTGCTTACTTCTTTGCAACTAGAGAGAGCTAAAGCATTTGGACTGTTTAAAATATCCTTTTGCAAAAAACCCTGCTTAGAAGTACTGAAACTTTTCCTCCTGGGAGGAAACTTTTTCCACTTCAAAGTGAGTGTGAACACATTCTTGCTCCTCAAGTTTGTATCTGTTCAGCTTTTCTGAAAACTATTCTGTTTCCTAACTGATCTGGTTAAGTGTCTGACAGTCCTATAGTGCTATTGATGTGATAAAGTCTTTGGTCAATATATTATACAATGCAGAACAGCGGTAAATCAGAATCATCGGTTCAGAGGCAGAACGAGTCTCTGCACACATGGCAATTTGGTTTATGGGTTGATTTACGATGAAGTGAAATGGTTTAGGATTACTTTATCAACAGAAATGCCAAATAGAGGCCAGAAATATATCAGGGCTATTAAAGTGAAAAGATAAATGGCAAAGATTAACTTGAGAAAAGTGAAAGAGAATTTACTATGAGAGAAAAGAAACATTATAATTAGGCAGTAAGCTTTTCCACTGGCATGGCTAATCATAAAAAGAAATTGCAAACCTCCATGTGAAAAAACTGGAAAACTTAGAAACTTTTCAAAGTTCTCTTGGAAGTATACTTACCTACACACTTCAAAGCCCTAGATAAAATTGCATGAGGCTGCCAGTGAAGCTGCTCGTGTACATCCTTGAGACCAGTCCCTCCAACAAGTGTCAAAATAATTCATTGTCTTTCTTGACATTAGCCATCTTTCTAACCTTGTTAACCTCACAAATCCAAGAAGTAAACTGACCCATGAGGAATGTTCTAGCTATATGGAGCATATCCTAGATTGAGCTATTCTGGGTTCTCTTTTGCAGAAACCTAGTCAGTTCATTCAGAAAGAAGCCCTGGAAAGCAATAATATTCATGCACCGTCAATGATCCGAGAACCAGGGCCTGGGAGCAAAAATAAAGCAAGACAATACAGCAAACTAAGCACACAGAAAAAAGCAAACACTGTCCACCCAGACAGTTCATTGGTGGATTACAAGTAAGTAACTACGGACTTTGCTTAATGAACACCACTACGGCACTAATCCCTCTCTCTTAGATTTCTTTCTAATCTGAAGCAAAAGTAACTTACTGCTTCTTAGACCACAGGCACTCCTGGCACAGCACCATACTCATTCAAGACTGCACTCTGACTAATGAAAGATTTGGAGAGTAAGGCTCAGTAGACAATTTTTGCAGAGCCACAGGCAAGCAAATGACGCAAGAAGGCCATTCATGATGACCATTTGGAGCAGGGTAAACATAGGCAGACATCCCTGACTGAAGCAGGCCACGTGGAAAAAGCTGTCAGTCTCAGGAAGTAACATAAACATGGTCAGAGAGAAAACTTCAACATAGCATCAGGCAGGAACAAACCAGCAACTCTGCTTTCCAAAAAGCAGAACAAAAGTCATCAGCCTCACCTCTGTAACACATTCATGTCCACAGATGATCTTCAGTTTTGTTTACAGTGAGGTTAATGTTAATTGTTTCAGTCTAAACACATACACAGACACAAAGGCACACACCACTTCATCAGGGCAGAGGCAAGCCATGCCTTGGGACATCCAAACAACCACCCAGACTTCATCAACGAGGTAGATTTTTGAGCAGGAATATTTCTCTAAGGTTTGCAGTAGAAGGGGTTTGTTACCTTGCAGCATATGTTACACTGAGTTCATCCAATACACTGCTAAGTTTCGCCTGAAGTTCTTTTAGAACAACACTAGCTTCAGGATCCAACTGCAAAGAGATAAAGAATGTTATATTTTACTTATACACTAGGTTTCTGTGTCTCCCATTACAATTAATTAATTAGGAATTATGTGCGCCAATTCACTGCACTATGGAAAACCAAATGTGGAAACACCTGTTGCAACACAGAATTGCTTTATTAGGCCTAAAAATCCAATTAGCATTTAAAGAAAAATATGGAAAATATTTGACTACCATAGTGAAGAATGATATTGTTAGAAATCAAACCTGTGCCATTGAAAAATGACTGTCTATGGGATTGTGTAAATTGGGTTGGCAGTCACAAGGACAGAAGTACCATTATCAGACAGGCACTATTCACAAAGCACAGCAAGGGAAGGATATATAAGAAGTTAGTGCTTGTGTTAATAGTACTGCAGACGTTTTTATATTTTTATTATTTTTTGTACATGTCACCACTGTTGGTATTTCTTTTTTGTGATTTGCATTGCAGATGTTTCCATATTTCCATTAATGCAGTGTAAAAGTAGAACAGCCAGCACTGGAAAAGATGGCTTGAAGACCATCCATGCTGCTTCTACTGTTAAGAGTATGCAGGAAGGGAATCTACCAAATTCCAGGACTGCTGTTTCTAAAAGCCATTAAGGCATACATAATTCAAGCACAGAGCAACACATTCTGATGCACAGGGAGCAGCTCCTGTACCTCTGATACAGGTTTTCTAAACATAGAAAATGCAGGGGAGAAAGATATTTTTTCATTTACAGAGATGAGGATACATGCATAGATATTTAATCAAAAAGGTACCATGTTATTGATTAGCAGCTTGTTTATTTGCTATGCATTCTTTTTCAAATGAAAAAACCGTAATTTTTTCATCTCCTTTAACATTAGTATTTAGGGAAAATAGTGACAGCCCATTGTGGGATATGACTGATGATCATCAGGATCAGCAGCTGAATGTGAATTAGTAGTTCATTTTCCAGGCCTTTCAGTTATCTATGTCCCAGTGTTAAGGAATGATTTGCAATGATAACCCTCAATTTCTGGACTCTGTTCTGCAGTAAGGTCAGGTACAGATCTGACAATTTCAAAGGACCTGTGCATTTTGAATACATAATCAGCTCTGTCTCTATTTGCATTTTCCTATCTTTCAGCTGCATGAGTAGCATTTAGTGCTTATCATTCATCTGGTGCTTCAGAGTGCTCTGGTGCAGCAGGTCAGTTCTCTTAATCACACTTCAGAGACAAGGGGAAGCTATCCCAGCACACTGGATAAATTATGTGAGACTACACAGGAATTCTATAGCAAAGTAAACTCTCAAATAGATCCAGTGATCTGCTGTGTTCTGTCTTAGACCATCCTTTCTCTCCTTAGAGATGATGTGTGATTTAAAAACATAGAAAATCCAAGATTTTCACTACAATTATTGACGAAAACCTTGAATAGGTGACAAAGGGGGATTTACCACACATCCTTTAGAAGGTACTCAGTATTTTGTAGCACTCTTCTAATCTGACAAGCTCACTTTTTACTATTGTAAGTACTTACTATGGTTACTTACAGACTTAGCTTTGAATTACTTTGCACTGAGAGTTCTGTTGCTTCTCTATATCTTAGCAGTTTTCCTGGCAGATACACTGTGACAGTTCATACACTTAAAGTGATTGTTTTCCTTCATATGAAAAGCAGGGATTAAAGAGCTAATTTTACTGCAATGTCTACATTAGTTAATAGAGTTTACTACCAAAGGCAAAGATTTTTCCACGAAATGCATTTCACTAGGGAGTTATACCACCTCCTTTGGTGGGATACATTTAAAACACAAATTTAAGACCAGAATATTAACATAACCAGAATATTTAAGACTGGAATATCAACATTTAACAAATACTGAACACATAAGCATTCACACTGAACATGGTACGTGTCAAAATAAGCACAAAATACCAGGCAGGCAGAAGACTCAAAATTTCTTAGCAGATCATGCACAAGCTAGAGAATCACCTTGTTACTGGGCCTACAGAGGTCAATGTAGTTACTTTCTTTTAGAGGTTATTGTGATAACCAGAAAACACAATACATCTGCTAAATTCACCTAGAGTTGGACTTAGTCTGGACAAAAAAAATTGTATTAAATACTGATGCCAGATATAATGACACACTCTAAAAGGGTGCATGCAAGTGTTAAACGTTTTAGAGGGCTTTGTGCTCACAAATTGCATGAACAAGTTTGTGTGTGCACAGCTGGAGGCATCTGGCAGGACATCCAGCCTCGTGCTCATGCTTGCTGATGCGGAGCCAGAGGGAGGAGTGGAGTGGAAAGAGGTATGCGGGCTGCCCACCAGGTGCTGGGCACCTGGGGATGCTCTCAGGGCTAAGAATATGTTAGCAAGAGTTTGAAATGTCACTGTTCCTTTGTTTAACTGGAAAATACGGTGATTTGAGTGTCTCACAAGAACTAAAATGTGCACTTTTCATTTATTTTAACATGTGCCTTCTATGTGCTACTGACTGTCCTCAGGCATCATCCAAATGTACCAGAACCATGATTTGCCTTTTTTTTTTTCCTCACATGGTGGGAGCAGGCAAGTGAGACAGTAGGCAGTGCTGATCAGCATCTGAGATGATGTCATACAGGGATATACAGATATGAAAATGAAGTATCTCCAATCCTGGAGACTTTTCTTTTTTTCCTGAAGTTTCATCAGCTCCATTGAGCTTGATGAAGAAGTAATAAAACCCAACAAACTTGCCTGAATTATTTTTCAGGAAAATAAATGGAAAAAAGTCCTAACTGAATAGATTATTTTTGGAAAAAGAAAAAGAAAAAAAAAAGATGAGTGTGATTAGTGTGCCATATCTGATTTGAGCATCAAAAGAGAAAAGACCATTTATCCCTTAGCTCTTTGGATTTCACTTCCAGTTCACAGCATGTGTGGGCTAGTCTTAAAAACATCCATAAGTTGCTCAGGTATCAAAACTGGATTTTTTTAAGGAGCAAACTGAATGTGTAAATCACTTTTTACCAATTCTTAATTTGCTTGGCTTTCTTAGAGTCATATTTCTGTTACTTTACCACCTCCCTAAATAATTGAGTTAATTTTTACCCACAGCAGAATATACTCATAAATTTGTTGGCACTCTTCATGAGATTTGTTAATTATGGATTATTATACAGACAATGAGAACTCTGACTTTTTCTGAGTGCTACACAAAACCAGATAATACATTTGCTGAACAGCTGAAAAACAAGAAATATTTGAACATCAGTGTTTCCAAATGCTGCCTGTCTAAAACTGTGACTATTTTTACACTGACAAGCCTTGGAAAAGAGTTAAGAATCTGATGAATTTGGCTGCTTTCAACATAATGTGTTGGATTGAGGTATTCCCTGCTGTAATTTCGTGTGTGCTAGTAGGGACATAATCTTGTTAACTGCAAATTTGGTAGTGTTTCTGTAGGAAACTACAGAGATGCAAATTACTTTTGCAGGAGTTAAATGGAACCCCTCTAACCTGAATTTCATTTATCTGCAGTTTCACAGGTCTAACTGCTTATAGTTTCATAATGCAGTTACTTCTCTTCAGAAAATAGTTTTACTTATCCAGGAAAGATAGAGGTATTTATCAGATCAATCTCTTTAGTGGTTCTTTTTGTCTCTGATACACATCATCCTTCCTCTACCCCCACTAGACTCTCTAGGGACAGTGAGATGTTTGGCTGCTGCTGCTACAACTACACTTATGAACACTTGGGCCTCTGACTCCACAGATTTAAAGACGGACACTTCAGAACCGTCTTGCTTAAGTCTGGCCCTCTGTCATCCCATCAAAGTCTATAAAGCCACATATGGATTCCTATAGGAATTCCTAAGCTTTACATATAAAGTTGGAACTGAACTTATCCAAGTGGAAATATGATTTATCTGCAGTCATTATAATACTGTCATACATAAAGCTTTACACCTTTTTTTTTTTATCCTAATTGCTGTAACTCATTTCTGCCATGTTCTGCCATCTGATGAAAAGCAACACAAGCATTAACTTTTTTTTCTTTCTCTTTTATCAGCTTCCAACATGTCAGACATGAGAAAAGTACTTAGTGTAAATGTATGCATTCCTTTTGGATCAAACAAACAGGAGCTAAACCAAAATTTTATGACAATGAATCTGTTCTCATGTTTTTGGACTTGATTTAAAAAACCCAAAACAAACAGTGGGTTGAATCCCACTTTACTACTCTTTATTGTGGCAGACTGTTCTCATTGATATAATTTTTAAGTACCCTTTCTACTTTGCTGCAGCAGAAGAGGATAGTTATAAAGAAACTCATATTGTTCAGACTATTTTATTTTAATGGTGGGGATGCTGAGAAACCAGTTTTTTCTCTATTTATAGAGCTCCCTGCCCTGCAATATGCAATAAGCCTACCCTGAACACAGGGATTGCTGCTTGATTGTTGCTGTTTTGACTGCACAGTTTGAAAGACATACTGCTCACAGTATGACACTGAGGAGATTAACAGCATTTAATTTTTCTTAGAATTAGTTTTGCTTCAACTGAAATAGGTCTCATTATTCTACTGAAAATCATCTGACTTTTATGCCCTCCACAAGTAAAATATTAAACTATTTTTTCCCTGCAAGGAAACTGCTTACAGATTTTATTGCTGGCTTTGTTTCTTATAAGTACCAGTCCAATAAGCCAAATTGGCCATTAGCAAATGTGCTTTTGGAATAGCTAGGGGAATTCATATTCTAATTTGAGGACAAACATTTTAGGGGCACTTTGATATGGGTGACAAAAAATTGAATGTGAATGTACTTTTCTTCAAGAAATTGCCCTAATGAGAAACAAACAAAACTCTGAATATATTTTTTAGATCTTTTTTCTTAGACTGTGAATCAGAGATGCACTTAAGGTACCTAACAAATGGATATTAGAAAAATATATCCAAACTCTCTATGAGGGTTGTATGTTGTACCACATTTATAGGAAATGTTGCTTTGGTACTCTAACAACCTTAATAATTCATCCTCATTAACATCAAAAGGAAAGCAACAAGGACTGAGAAGTGATGAGAGATTCTGAAAGAAAACTGCAATGAAAAAGTCCTAATTATTTTTTGTACTATTATTTTTTATTGTATAAGGTATTGTGAGCAAAAACCTTAACATTTTCTTGAGGGAAATGGAACATTTTGGAGACTCAAGTAAGTATTCTGATTTGAAATTAATTTGATAGAAATAAAATGCTACTCAGCTTTCCTCTGCCCTTGTCTGTATCGGGATTTATGGACAATTAGCAGTTTTTATGAATCATGACATTTAAATGTGGGATTGGATCCAAGACCTAATACAAAAGTACTTTGCACAGAACATAAGAGCACAGAAGACAAGTTTATTTGTAATATATAAAAGTGAAAGAGGATTAAGAGGAACCACAAACCCAGCCATGTCTGGATGATAAATATACATCCTCCAAGTTTGGTCGGACGTTTTCAATGCCAGCAAGGCTGCAGAAGTTGATTTCATGTCTTCTGGAGCCATGGCAGCTTCAAGAAGCTGTTACTGGCTCAGCAGAACCTCCTCACCATGGAGTGCATGAAATGCACGGAACTGGAAATGTATTTTCCAGTTCTCTCTGTAACGTGTCCACATTAGTGGACTTGTAAATTTTGTGAATTTATCAAACTGCAGTCTCAACAAGAAAGAGCTGATGTCTCTGTAACTTCTTTTTTAAAGCCACCTACTGTTACTAAGTGTATTATGTTCATGGCCTAAACATTGCTCCTCAACAAGATGACATATGTTAATGTCTTCACTGTGTTTCAGAACAGTCAAAGACTACAGTCAGCAAAGTACTGAAGAATGTGTTTATGTCCCTTTACTGTTGACAGGACTTGAGGCACTTTTAAGTCTTCTGAAATAAAAAAGGAGACAAAGCTAAGCATGTTCTGGACTGTTGAATAGCAGCTCTTGGTAAACTGGTGCCCTCAGATACTGAAAAGTGCACTTAAAATGTTTTATAGTTGTTTTTTTTTTTAAAGCTTTGAAAGACTTTACACTATCTGCCTAGTAAAACTTTTCAATTTAGAGTGTCAAATGAATGCCCAAGCATAGCTCTTTTTGATTTTAGATCATAGGGAATTACACAAATGCATCGATGGAAGTAAGTAGAAAATGTGACTGTTCTTAGCCTCAGAAAATAACGGTCAGGAATAATAAAAGATGCTTACTATCACAAACCTCATAAGAGAATCTCTCTCCTTCTTTCTTCTGCTCAGTGGATTGCAAGTCAAAGGCATTAGACAAAGACATGACACATTACAGACAAAACGTACCAATACATAAAAAGCAAAGTATAGTCCAGTACAAACATTAAAATAAAGCTGGCACTACAGATTGCAACACAGAACACCCAGTGCTGATTGAACATTACAGATCATTAGCATTTATATGTGAAATAGAGCTTGGTCTTTCTACTATTGTCAGGATGTTAAATAGGTCTTAGAGAGTTTTTTTCTTAACATTTTCATTTCCTTTGCAAGTACAAGTGAAACCTGTTACTAGGTTGCAAACATGGTGCTAATGATCTCTAAGGAACTTTGAATGAACCAGGAAACAAATATGGCTCACCTCCTTTCCTCCCATGGACTCAAACATTTTCTCAAGTTGGACTCTTAATTGTTGAATGTTGTTCATCAAGATACAGGCCTACAAAGAGAAAATCAGATGTGAGGTTGTGCATGACCAACTCCTCAGCAGCCCTGTATTTGTAGAATTATAGAATCATCAAGGTCGGAAAAGACCTCTAAGATCATCATTCATGCAACTGTGTTTTTCATAGGAGATCCCCAAACAGTGCTGCCTTTCCTTCTGCCTTTAACTGACAATCAGATCCCAGCCTTTCCCATCCTGAGCTGTATATCCCAGGGAGTTGCTACTTATACTTAGTACAGTTACATCTGATGGACTGATGCAAGTAGCACATCATCATCTCTTGGAGAGCAGAGGCAACAATGATCAAAGTGCTTTGGAGTGACAATAAGAGGGATGAAGGGGATTGCCAGATTGCTTTCTAGACCCAGCCTTCGCAGAAACCTGACAGCACCATGACCCAGATAACGGCTGATGCTGAAGTATTTGAATAAACCGACAGGCAGTTCTGCTAAGAACAGAATATTTCAGAAATATGCAGTTTTGCATTGCTTTTTTGCATTACTTGAAAAGTTGGTGAGTGAATTAGGCAAAAGAATTCTTATTTTAGTCTAGAAATGTTGCTGTTTAAGCACATTTTCTTAAGGCAGAACACAGAGCCAATGAGTAAAAGGGAGTGATTTCTGTATAAACATAAGGTCAAAAATAAAACATTAATTAAATTAAGGAGCTTTTTAAAAAGATCGTGGAAGAAAGAATCCATTACTAGAATTTTGTGTACTCAGATGACACTATATGCTGGTTTGTTATGATGTAGGAACAGCAATAAGACAATATTTGCTAAAAGAGCTCTGGTTGGCCAAGGCCAGTGTCTTCTAGTGCATGAGTGGGTATTTTAGGCACTGAAGTAATGCATATAAATAAATAAAACACATATACTTCTTTTCAGACAAGAAGGTGGTGATGGAAGATTACAGTGATTAATAATCATTTGTACCTTTCCAGTTAATAACATGTTCCAATGCAGTGCTGAAACATGGTGGGAATCAATAACATGATTTAGCTTTAATTATTAATACATTACTCTCAAAGGCACTTAGTATCAGAGTCTTTCTCAGCTGAAGAAGAAAAAAAAGAAATTTAATCTAACTTCTTAATACTTAGATTAGTGCTTCCCAGGAAAGCATGCTATTTGTGCTCCTGCAGAAGACAGCTGGCTCCGGATAGTGGTTGAAATGTTACCTCTCTGCCTGTCTCTTCTTATATTTGTCTATATACCTTCTATTAATTCACAATCATGTAAGACTGTGTCCTCCTTTCCGGTGCTATATCCTCTCTTCTAAAAAATTCAATATTCTGGAAATTATCTGCAATATCACAAGTCAGTAATTATAATTTCTGATGAGGGCATAAGTAGCTGAGTATGACACCTTGGTCCTTTTGTTCCAAACAAATGCAAATGCCTTTGACAACGTACTGAGGCTGCAACTGAAATACTTCCTACTGAAGCAGTTTTCAAAGTTTCCTTTGAGGCTGGCTCAGCTGGCTCTTTCAGAGCCTGAGCCTAACTTGTCTCACTGAAAAAATTGCTATTGTTGTCAGTAAAGAACATAACTTAAAAATATTTTCTTTTTATTTTATTATCATCTTGCCCTTCAGAACAGTCTTTGCAGCAATTTAGAGGAATCAGACAGTCAGATGCAACAACACATAGAAGTGAGTGGCAATTACAATGCATAAACCTGGGTTTGTTTGTAAATGCTGACAGGAGGTGGAAGATACACAGCTTTATGACAAGCATCTTCAACGTGCTTTTCTTTGAACAATTTATGTGCACATTTTGTAGTGTTTAATAAAATTACTAAAAGTATTGGCTTGAAAGGGAATGCCAAATTCTAATTTTAAGAATAAAAAGTGTTTGTTTTAATGCCTTCTATCAAATCTAATGCTGGAGACAGACATTTATTGTAGTTGAAATTAATAGAGCAAATGGTCTTTTATTAAGCTAAAAGTTATGTATTTCAGTAGGGCAACTTCTGTTAAAAAAAAGTTATGTTCCTCAAGGACATTTGGTACAATACTTTATACCTGGTCTAGTGGAAGGTGTCTCTGCCCATGGCAGGAGGGTTGGAATTACATGATCTTTAAGGTCTCTTTCAACCCAAACCATTCTATGATTTTGTGATACTCTAAGGAGATTAATTCCATCTAAACCCTTAATAAAGATGAGCCTATGAGGATGGCTTCAGAAATCTGTAACTCCAACAAGTAAAAAAATCCCACTGGACAGGTCAAAAGACAACACAAACAGTTTGGCTTGGTGATTCAGCACTGTATCAAAACTCATTTCTTCTAGAAGCCAGTCAGCTTTAGCTCAAATAGACGTCCTTCTGAATTCTATTACTGCATATATTGGAGACCTCTAGATCATCACACCTGCTCTCAACACAGAGAGCACGTCCTCAAGCCATGCACAGATGGGACAAGCACAGCTGAGATCTGTGATGGGCTGGGTAAGGGCTGTACCTTGAAAGGTGCACAGTGTGAGGATGGGGCTGCAGTTATTTATCTGCCTGTAGATTGATACAGTTGTACAACATGTCACTAAATACAGCAGGCATAGTGCTAAATGCTGCCAGTTGTGGGAGTACCAGCTTTGACTGAATATCGATGATACTGAAAAGTCAGTTTACAAGAATAATTTTCCTGGGTCTTGTTAAGATATTGATAATGCCTCCACCTGCTCAACCACATCTTTAGTGTCCACATCTCATTTATTTCTGAGTCCATGGCGATCTGGTCCTTCATTAGGGACTCCCTTGTAAGCAGTGAGGCACCAAAACAGCATGTGATTTTTTTTCTCACTGCTGTGTGGGTAAAGCACAGTGGTAGGAGCAGAAAGGTCTGCACACCTTCCCTGCACAGGGAACAATCATCCTATAACGCTCCAATGTACACACTGATAGAGAGAGGCAAGCCAGTGCAAAATGAAAACTCTAAACAAAAATGTTTTTGCTATTTGGGAAACAAGATGAAGATACATTCACCATATCCACTGCTAATGTCCAGGGTGTGTTTGCGGTCTTCTCTTTTTTTTTTTTTTTTTTTTTTTTTTTTTTTTTTTTTTTTTAAAAAACTTTAAAACTGAAATTATTAACTAGGATTTTTAACTAATGTCACCTCTTCCAGCTTGTACATGTCAATGTAAGCAGCTATGAAAATATGCTGACCTCCCTCCATTCATGCCTTTTAACATATAAAGAAGTGATTACATTTTCAGAAAGTACAATAAGTCATTTAAAGGTAGTTTCTGAGGCAGAAAAAACCACAGCTTCTTACCACATTTTCTTTATCACAATACGAGCTGAAGTAACTCGAAATAATTACAGCATACTGAAGAAGCACTTTGTTGATAGTCTAGAGGAGGAGAAGAATCTTTTAAATGGTAAATTTCATAATGTGGAACAAAAATAATAAAAAAGGAGGTTTATATAAAGGATAGATTTTACAGGTACTTACACATTTAGTATATAGTATTGTTTAGATATAATACAAACAACCCTGTGAGCACATTTTCAAAAGCCTGCACAGCAGATGGTGGGTTGTTCTTAATGCAATGTAATCTTCAATAACAGAGATAGTTTAATTTTAGCTGTACTGTTTTTACTCCTTGCAATGTTCTACATAGTTACTGGAACAGTAGCAAGCTCAAAAAATCCTCTGGGATGACAATACATACATTAGAAATATAATGGAAAAAATAAAGACAAAAGGAGCACTGCTCAAGGCCTGGCAATATGAGTTACCTTCCAATAGTCACGTAAATAGGAACTTTCGTTGCAATAAAAGAACAGGATTGAATGTAAATGTGAACTTTTTTAGAGCCAGCAGGACTGTAATGGACATCTAGAGCTTGTGAGGAAATGTTACAGTACAAATAGAAAGCTGCCCTAAGAGCTGAGTTTATCAAACAGCAGTTGAAAAAGAGTTCACACCTCAGGGCTTCAACCAAAAATACTCTATTGCCACACTTTGAATTTTAACTTGAATTTAACTTCAATTGCACTCACTATTTAGCTAATTGCATTTCACTGAACTGCTCCATTAATGGAATTGTAATCAGTGCTTAGCAAGGTAATAACTGACTATGTAACACATACCTACACGTACATATGTGTATAATCTATATAAATATGAAATCTCAGGACAGAACTTCTCAAACTGGTAAATCATTTTGACAAAGTAGATGAAAAACAGCCTTAAGCCACCAACAGCCTGTCTTTCTGAGGATCCCACTCAGATAGAAAACATTGATTCGGAAAAACATTGGGACCACTTAGCTTTTTTAAGTACATGACAACACAATGTCCTTCTCTCTGAAGCTTAGTTGAGATACGGTGATTTTAATTTACCTTTGCAAATCTTCTCATTAAGTGAGATAGTGCTTCTGGATTAGGACACTCCAGTTTCCTAATAATCTCAAAGCTTTGATTGAGCTGTGTGAAGACATCAACCACAGAACAAGAGAAGAGGGCATGATCTGATGTTTGCTGAAACTGGAAAGGAACATTCAAATGAGTTAATGTTTCTTCAGAGATCGAAACTGTATTAACTGATTCTTACACTTGAAATTCTTCCTAGAGTCGCAAAAAGTAATAAAGAAAAAATAATTTTAAAAAAGTCTCACTTATAATACTGAGAAATGTGGCTTTTCATGTTTCTGATAATTTCAAACCTATTAAAAATAAAATCAAAATTCTCCTTCACGACATCATTATCACATCATAGGTCAGTGAAACCATAGATTAGAGTTTGTGGGGATTTAGACAGATAGAATTAGAGGAGGGATTTGTCTGTAGGGTTGTCTTCCAAAAACGGTTATCTTCTGAGGTCTAATGAATACTGTGGGACCAAATGTATTTCTAGGTTTGCAATGCTAAATAACTTTCTTAATACTTTATTTATTCTTTAATTTAAAAAGTAAAGGCTCACCCCATCTTTTTTGTCTCTTTCTAGTGCTCCATGAAGAAATTCCATTGAGACATCTTCATTTTCATCCAGCCACTGAATGACAAATGGTTCAAACCACCTGAAAATTAAAAGTAATTTTGTAAAGTCGATATGTTGAACAAATATCCTTAGAGGAGAGACGTCACACTACCCAGGCATCTCATGTCTTCATATCCATTCTTATTGCTAAAAAGTCTTAACAACCCTGGAAAAATTTCTGTCACCGAAGATGCTGTGGCTACCAAAAGGCTTTCTGGGCTTCAGTTTCAGATATTGATGTGCCTTAGTGATGTCAAATTAGCAGCAGCTAATTCTCTACCACGTGGAAGGCACCTGTCTTGTCAATACTGGCCTCTTGTTAACATTAAATAACTTGCATAAAACTCTGTTTTAGTAAAAAATCAGCTGTGTTTTATTTTTCTTTAGCTTATTAAAAAAATTTAACGTAATAGGAGGCCTCAAACCATCTCAGCAAATCAGCACACTTGCAGAAGAATAAGGAATGAGATTAAGGATAGCTCATATAAAATGACAGGACTGAATGTATTTATTGCAGGGGTAGAAATGAAAATGAAAGCAGCAGCTGAATATTAACCCAAGGCAGTAAGAATCATTTCAGTAGTGTATCCCATTAGGATTGTATCTTCATCCAGATTAGGGTATGAGACAAATGCAGGGGCCTGTAACAGTGCTGCTGTTCCCACATCTCACACCTTCCTCAGACATTTTATGACCAAAATATTTTGACATTTATGAAGACCTGCAGTAACAACAGTTGTATGAAGTCTGTGAAATAGCTGATTGCACATTTAACATCTGGGCTACTTCACTCGATAGAATGAAGAATTAAAGAAAGTGCAAAAAGTAGAGTTGTCACTGTTACACACCTTGAGGTCTTGCACAAACCTGAGCATAAATATTTGACCAAAATAAACCTTGTACTGAGGCCAAACTCATGCAAGACTTTCTGATCCAGCACTTACAGAGAGTATTCAGGCACTGCATCCTTGAAAGCAGAGAGTTCTCGCACATATTCATTATAAAACCATTTCACTTTGAAGTGCAAATTCATATAATCTGTGCTTTTGCATAACCGCTGCTTTTCATGTTCTGTAGGAGAAGGAGTGGAGAAAAGCACTTAATAACATTCTAAGAGTAAATAACATTCGTGTGCCTCAGTGCATTGGTAGCATAATAATACAGGAGTTGCATTTTAAAGCATAATTGGCTTGATTTTTTTAGGGTTAGTAGTACCCACAGTTTCAATTTTCGGGTTCAGAAAAAACAAACAAAACCAAAGACCAGACCACAAATGAGGCTTTTCACCTCTCAGCAGTGCAGTGAGAAACACCCCCCCCCAAATTTGCTGACTTCCCATTCTTTAGATTCTTTGGCTGTTACAAAATGGTTAAGAAGCTGTCAAGTGTCAAGTGAGACAAAACACAATAGGTTGTGTAGCAGCCATATGAAATAGGAGCTATAAATGCCAATCCTATATGAATCTGCAGATCGTGCATTGGCAAATGGACTGCATTTATCAGAGTTGAGAAAAAAAAAAGAGGAGACAATTCCACAGTCCTACAGCCATCTTATTTATGGCACAAGTAGAAAAGCTGGCTTTATAAAATGTTTTTTAAGTTTCTCAAATGGCTTCACCTTCTCACTGTACTCCTGTTTTCAGCATACTGGATATGCAGATGGTCATGGGTGACAGGGGTTAACTGTAACCACTTCCAGCAATTTTTAAAGTCTGATTTAATTTTTTGGAATGAATGTCCATCTTTCTTCCAGGATTATGACCCTAATTTTAGCTTACACACTCTGTAGCCTCCACCCAGCCACTTCACACCTGGACTATCCATCTCTTTGCCCCATTAGCTAACAGGCACTTTATCCTTCCTCAAATCTTTCATGTCCTTCTCCCAGTGCATGAACCTATGGATCCACAAATCTTGGGCATAATAATCATACTTTTCCTTACTGCTCACAGCATCCTAAAATCTCCACAGATCTCATCTGTTTGAGGTATCATATCACTTGCACATCCTTCCCTAAGCAAAAGACCAATTTCTTTTCCCAGCTCCCTTAAAAAACGACCTGATATAGATGCTTAGCAGGAGTGATGTTCTTGTGTAAATAGTATGTATTAAGAACTTACCTCTTTCAAACCTCCTTTTTGCTCCTTACTTCTGCTTGCTTTGCAGCACAGTATCACACAAATTTTTCATATATATTTGGATGTGAACCTAATTTTCTGTAACAGCAGGAGCATCCCATCCTCTGCCACACAACTGAATATACCATTTGATTCTCTGTCAGTGTGTGAATTACACATTCTGTGCTTTTCAGATCTGACCAGGCACATTAAAGGGAAATGTTTAGTTTTATTATTATGCCAAATCAGCAGTCCACTAATATCACCATGGCATACAAGAAGTGTTTCAGAAGCATATTATTATGCAGTGAATTACTAAGTTTTGTGCAAACCAGCTTATGAAGTGCCCCTGTGGGCTCTTATTGCCTTTTTAACATTGTAGCAGCATTTTCACCTTCACTGCCTTTTCATCACGCTCACAAAAAATCAGTAAATCAGTTTCTGTCTAAATATTGCATTTATTCATCTTCATGCTACTTGAGAGTACTACAAATTCTGGCCAGCATAATCTCATTAGTTATTAGCCTTAAACAGAACCACAGGGAGAAAGAGAAAGGTGTGTGCCTGCTCCCATGGTTCACACTTCGACAGACCTGAGGAAACTTTTTTGTTTGTTTTTGGGTAGAAAGTTTTCCACAACTTACAACTGTGGAAAGCTAAAGGACCAAATGTTTGTGGAATAAGAGGTAGTTCTTACAAGGTAGACCAGCCTTTTGTTGAGAACAGTTATCTTATTGCTATGAAATTCCCTGCACATCTACTGCTTAAGTCATTATTATAAATTTAATTACATTGCACCCCAAAAGAGTGGAATTTCTGAAATGAATAGCATTTTGTTTTCATTCAAGCATTGCATGAATGGGTTATTAGATTATGCAATGTAACTTAAAAATATTTGCTATGGTATCACAATCCAAGCAAATGTTTATTTCAATTTTAAAAATGAGCTGCTGCCATGAATGGGCAAACTTGTCCAGGAGGGTACAACTTACACAACACCATTCATTGATATTTTCTTTTTTAAGTTAAAATTTATAAAACATTAGAAATGAGCACAAAAGTCATTCATGAATAATTGAGCTTTTTTTCTCCAGGCTGTTATAACTTGTACGGAATATTTGAAGAGTCTCCTAGGATATTACTTGTGAAAAATGCATCCTCAGTTCCCGATATTAATGAATGAGAACATCAGCAAACACTTCACATGACTTACAAAGTAGTTTAGTATCCATGCATATTACCTCTTCAGTTTATCTGAACCAAAGAACAGAGAAAAAGGCTCCCATATAAGTCAGCCCATGACAATTCTAACCAGAATATGAATGAGTTTATCCACAGCAACCATGGATTTTGGTCACAAGACAGCAACATCACTGGAGGTGTTCTGAATTTAGGTTAGGACCAATGAATTGCTTTCTTAATTTCTGAAAAACTGGCACAAGTTAATGCCAATGTGAGACACCAGAGGATACATGTATGCATTTTGGAGATCTGTGTCTTTTTTCCTGGAGGAAAAGCTGGTGCCATGTTTCCCTATATAGATACACCAGTTTGGGACTTTTGGGAAAAGAGATTTAGTAACTGCACCATACAACTCCTAAAAAAAAAAAAGTCCACTCTTGCTTTGTAAAATTATTATAACACTGAGTCAGTCAGTCTGGAACTAAAGCTGCCAATTATGTGCAAATGTGCTCGGGAGAGATGATGACAGAAATACCTGAACTTTCTCATAATCGATTCCAGATAATGAAATCTCAGTATAGCAAACCTAATGTTATTAATCTTCTTTATTTTCTGCTGCTCTTTTTATGAGACATTCCTTGTAGTGCAGCACATTTTTATTAGCATCTATTAATCTACTGAGTTCCATAAAGAGGGCATTTTCAGTTCCCACTAGTGATCCTGGCATATCCTCTATTACTGTATCATGCACTGATGAAAAAAACACTGGTAAGATTTCTGTAAACTGTAACATCTGTAAACTTTAGGGGGGCAAAAAACTGTGTAAGGGGCACTTTAGCTGCTTTTATGCATTGAGTTCTAGTAACTTTTTTACAGCATTGACTGCACTGTGGGGAGGGTTCCACACCTTTCCAGGGGTCATGCTCTAATGCACATGTGCTTTCCTCGGCCTTGCAGTAACAGGCATTGGAGGTGCAACCATGAGGGAAACTGTGGAGAGTTGTTCCATCTCCGTGGTGCAAATTCCAGTGACAGTAACACCTTTAAGAAGACTTCCAGTAAGCAACAGTGCTGAGAAAAAAAAATAAATCTGTTCAGGTGTTGTTTGTGTAACCAAGAAAGAATTTTTTTTTAAAGGCTGTTAAGGGGAATAAATGTATATAATTAATATATACAAATGTGTTTGGTGTGTGATGGTATCAGCTACAGACCTGGTGACACTGTATCTTGCAAATAATCCAACTGTTGGCACCTGTTCTTTTACAGAAAAATCTGTAAAGAGACATAATATGAAGGACTGTAACCCAAGGTACTTTCCTCACAGGCCTGTGACCAAGCAACAGTACTTTGGAATCACATTTGATTCCTTGCTTGTTTTCCCAGCAATTGTTAAAGAAAGATGAGAAGATTTTCTTAGAGCAACAAATAGAAGTCATAATGACGACTTATTAAGCAGAAATAATTACATAACACTAAAGACATAATGCCATTTAAGAAACTGGAATACAATCTTGCTCATATAGAATTATTTCTTCTTTTTAACCTTGAGGTAATAACATCACTCTGAATTTCCGTGTAATTTCTGAGATGTATTAGATGCTAAAAAAGGAAAACAGGGTAATCCAACAACCTTCATAGAAGATGAACATGTTAAATATTCAGATAATCAATTTGATATTTTCTTTAACTCCAATTTTTCCTTATTCGGGCACAAAAACTCGAAACTTTTTTTTTTTAACAGAAGTTTCTTAGCCACTGTTTTCTTTAACAATGTACAGTTAAACTGCTTGAAGGATTCTAATGAGATGGTTTTAAATTATACTTCAAATCTTTATGAACAAGAATTGCCAGGAAATTAGTCTGTAAAAAAAAAAAATGAACAAATTGACTAGTTACAAATAAATATATATCTAATACAAAAAGCTTTTCCAGTTTTCAGGCTTTATAGATAATGTTGCAGGGATTAATAACTACTACAAAGAATACTGATGTGTAGCAAATTAATTATATCACAACCAGTTGGTTTGACTGGCATACATACTATTACCCTACAGTTTATTAAAACAGAAATGACTGAACCCAAGCAGATGGGAATTGTGTTTGGATTAACTGCAAATTTTCACATCAAAACTCAGCTGTTATTTCAGCCATTGCAACATAATTCCACATTATTTGCAATAATTACTTGCCAATCGTTCTAGAGACTACCAGCTGCATATTTTATCTATTTATTTCAGAACTACTGTTTCAGAAAACCCACTATTTCCAAACTTTCAGTCGTATAATTGGGAAGTGTATGTGTGACACAAACTCAGTATGGCTACTGGAAAAAAGCTGCTGTAAGGGATGATGTTGATTGAGTATGAATTGTTATCCCTCCCTCTGCATCCCTGTGGAAACATCACACCTGTATGACACACATATGTGTTGGATAAAAGTAGAAATGAATATTTAGTGTTCCTGATCCCAATGCACCTTCCCTACAGTACTGGAGGGGTTGCTCTGCCATTGCCTTATTAAATGTGGGTATTATGCTTGTAGTGCTCTTGACTTAATCCCTGTACCACTGAAATAAGTGTAAAGGCCCTGTTTGAATGTAACACAGTGGATCAGGGTACAACTGAAATAAAACATAAACTCAAACAAAGTGCCTGATTTATGAGAAGGAAACATTGCATTCTACTAGACATCCCAAGATTCTTCTACTTTGCTAAAGGCAAATGGAAGTCACTGGTTATTAACTGAAATACAGAGTAGAACACAACTAATTGAC